AGATTTGTACTAATTCTTCTTTATTTAAAACTCATGTAATAATTAAGCTTTTCTTTATGTTAATACACATGTAACCAAACGTAGCATAAATGAATCTTACAGGCATTGTCTGAGGAGGCAAGATTCTGGGGAGCATTTGGTTTCTATGCTTCATTAACTTTGGTATGTGGCGTGATCATTCTCATTCGCTAGTTCAACTCATGGGTTTTTGTTGCGTTAATATTCTCAACTTCTATAAGCAGTTTTGAAATCGCAGGCTTATCTTGTAGTTGGGTTAAGTGGGGGTTTCTTGAATTTTTTCACATACATGTCTATGCTTCTTGGATGGATCTTTTCCCTATCAATCAAGTTTCATGGTCATTATTCAGTCAGGTATCATTTTGAGTGAATTTGCAATTGTATATCATCTTCATAAACTAGGAGCATATGGTCGTTTTTAGTTGTTATCGAGCATTTATTCACCGGAGTCCTCAACCCCTCTCTCCCCTTGCCCCACTTCTGATGAATGATCAAACTGCACACTATTCATAACTACTTGTTCTTTCTCTTTGATCCTTTTTATTTGAAAAGGATTTTAACTATGATATAAAACAGAAATTTGTTTCGGTATTATGGAATTTTTTTACCTCAAGTTTGGTCAACAAGGTCTAGTGAACTTTTGGCCCAACAACTTTCAGTGATGATATGACAAAAAGTGTTGTTTATGATTCCATTTCTTTTAGCTTCAGATTTGGAAGTTTGACATTGTTTATTTTATTCCTGAAAGTTCATCTCATGTTCGGAAGTAAATTTCCTCTTTCATTGGCATACTTATATGTCTTACTGTAGAACAGCATTAATATGGTAGTACATGCCTCATATAGATTGATGAAATTGTTTCTTTCAGGTCTGCAGTTTTTTATGTGATACCTCTAATTCCATGCCTTACATACTTTGTATATTTCGGTGGTTTTCTTGTTCAATTTCTGATAGAGAAGATGGGTATGATGGGCTCTCTTCCACCGCCTTATGGTTAGTTCTTCTCGACTTCTATACTTCATATGTAATATTGGTTCTATAAAATTCATATTGTTTAGCCCTAACTCTTCATTTTCTTCAGGTATCCGTGTTCAACTCATATACAGACATGGGTTTGGAGATATTACCCTCCAAATACATGGAAAAACTTGAAAATATTTAAACAATCTAATGTTGGGTGCATTTCTGTATATTTACTCAATGTCAGAATTCCGATGATCTTCAAAGTTATGCCTGCAGGGAATCACATTCCTGATATCGTAGTGGCAGCAATTGTTGGTGTTGCTACCGGTTGGTGGGCGGGCCCCCTGATACCTATTGTTGGCAAATGGTTAGCCAGGTCATCCATCTTGCAATTCTTACTACATCTTAGTGTGATTGCTTTGGCTTTGTCGTCGCAGTTCTTTCCCTATAGTACAGATGCACCTAAGAGAGTTGTTTTGCAGCATACATTTCTGACTGCAGGTACTTTAAAATTTACAGTTGCTATTCAGAAGCCTCTTGAAATCCATATGAGTTACTTTATTTACATTGAGCTTAATTCTTTTTCAGTGATGTTCACCATTTCAGTTGATGTTTAGAACTGTAATGTCCCCTATGCCAAAAAGTTTTAATACTGCTATTTCTAAACATTGTTGTACTTCTGGGCTTGACAGATGCAAATCGAGTTGTTGATTCAAGTTACGACTTTTCTGTGGTGGATTCCAACTCTCTGCTGTTTCTTTTCAAATATGCACCCTAAGTGGCAAAGGAGTTGCACATTGACCCCGGGTTTTCTTTTGAAACGGCTAAAATTTCTAACCGACATACTTTTTTGGTATGTCATATATATCGTGCCAATACTTTTATAAATTTCTTATAACCCATAATATTTTTGGTTTAGAAAGAGATAAAAATGGCTTCCCTTTCTAGACTTGGATGCACATGCATGCCATGGTCGCCTTCTTCATCTCCCCTCCTTTGCTGCTTCCTTTCCAGGCTTGCTTTTTGTGATATCATTTTCTTTCTCAAGTTGAACTTCCTGCAACGGAAGTTCCCTATATCTGTTTATTTTTTACCTTGACCAAATGGTTGCTACAGCCTACAGATTCTTTGATAGTTTATCAGAAGGCTCTTTAGGGCTTTGTTAGCCGAATGTTCGTCAATAACAATGTCTACTTTCATTTCGTAGAAGTATTCTTTATTTGGTTTTATTTTCGAAATTTTACGTCTCCATATTAGGTTCACTTGCGGTCTCATATATGAAAACACTGTGTTGCTCCGACACTTCATTTCTCTTGAAGTATCTGTGCCTATCACACTTTCAGAAATGGACACGGGGGATTCAATTTTCCAAGAACCTATACCCGTAACAACCACATAGAGTCCAATTAACGTAGAGAACACATCATCTATGTATATGATGAACAGAAATTTTATTTCTTTGCAGACATTTTTTTCCGGTCAACTTTATGTTCTCAAGAAGTATGAAGTTCCCTGCAAGAAGTGATGAGATTTTGAAGCAATATGCACAATTTCCTCATTTGTATACTAATAAGCCACAATTGACGTCTAGCAATGGCTCTCGGAGAGTATATTTGGAACTTTCCTTAGGGTGAGTCGACACTTTTCGACTCTGTGGACTGCCCTCGGTTTTAACATAATGCAAGATTCTTAAATTTTACAGACGTTACATGTTCCATTTTTTTCATTCGCAGCTCCTTAAAGGAGGTTTGGGTTGCTGTTCTTAACATTACTGGTCCTTTATCCAATTGGTCATTTGCTGACAATAAGCTACCAGGTTAGATAAAATGCTTTTTCTTTTATTTATTTTGCATTGGAAGTTTAATCTGGTTTTTGTGATTCACTGTGATAATTTTTGCAGTCCCGGAAACTATCGAAGGCGGTCCGCCGTCGTACATGTGTAGACTTTCTGGAGCCAGTCATGAAAATGGAACTTCTGGTTGCAGGTACAATTCTGATTTATTAGTTATGCATTGAAGTGTATCCTCCCACAATCACTATTTTTTAAGTAAGCCCCCCTCTGGTGTTGTAAGAACCGAACCGGCCGGTTGAATCATGAACTGGTGGTCCATCCGGTTGGGAATATACTATTCGACCATAAATCCTTTAAACCTGCCAAGAAGCGGCTTAACTGCAAAACATAGGTAAAAACAGGGAAAAAATGGTTTCAATTTCTTTAAAAAAATTATTATTATGAAAAATATTTTTGTATGTGATGAAGTTTGGACCAGTCCTGTTTTTAAAACATTGGCCCTCTTTACTTTTCTTGTATTGAAGTACAGTTCTTATCCTTCAATTTATATCCAATGATGTAAAATCCGGGGTGAACCACTTGGTTCTATCGGTTAAACTGAAAACCGGAGGTTTGGTCGATTCAACCTCCTGTCTGGTTTTTATGCCTTGTTTGAGAACCTTTTCTTTATCATTTTAACCAAGGGACTGGTTTCCCTACATGCAAATGATCCATGGCAAACTTGTTCTATGTGGATTTTCAGGGCAGCAGCACTGGAGATTTAAGGGTGGATTTGGTAGATGAAGCGAGGAAGTTGAAAGTACTCTTCCCACCTTGGGCAGATGTCACTGCCTTCTCTAGTTTTTTTGTCTACCTGTCTTTTAGTGGTCATATTATATACCCTATCAACTCATTCTATGTTATTCGAGAAAAAGCGTCGGATACGAGTGTATTCGATACGAGTATATTTTTTAAAGTGTTTAAATATATATTTTCTTTCATATTCATTCTAATGTTGTATTTATAGTGTAAAAATAAGTTTATGTGGGTAAAATTATTATGGTTGTTTTTGTAAGCTTGAATTCCTTGTTAGATGTTAGATGTTTTATTTAATGATGATTTTGAGATTTCTTTATTTATATTTGTGAATTTAGAATTTATGTTTTTTATATTAATATGATTTCTTTTAATTTTTTATAGTATTTTTTATATTTTTGATATATATATATATATATATATATAACTTTTTATTAATTTGATTTTTTAGTATTTTTTGTATTTAATGTTTTGAATTTTTTATATTTTAAATTTAAAATATTTTTTATTTTTAATAAAAATTAAATAAGTTTCCAAACTAAAAAAAATCTAATTTGACTCTCAAACGAAATCAAAACAATAATTTAGTATATTTATTAAAGCATTCGTCACGTCATCAACTACTGTGGATTACAGTATTGTAAATTATCATGTCAATACCATGAATTGTCGCATTAATATCGTAAGAGTTAACGACGAAAAATATTGGTTAAACGGTCACATTTGAGTGCAAAAATAATTTTAAGATCACATTAATTTTTTCCCCTCCTAGTTTCTAAGATTTCGTCTTGACTGATTCAAATCAAATCAGGCCATACACTTAGTTTTGGTAGATAAATCTCCCAAAATGATATTTTCTGCATACACAAGGACATAAACTCAAGAACTGTTTAAGCGATATAAGTTGCTCACCACTTGAACCAACCCTTTTGGTATTATTTTTTCCTTTAAAAAATACAATGATTTCATATCTTTTTGCCTATCATTACATATTATATATTATAATTTAATTAATTATTAAAATTAATATTAAGTATTAGATTTTTTTAGATTTAAGTGTCAAATTAAAATTCTTTTAAAGTTTAAGTAGGGATTTGATGAAAGAAGTTTATTTATTAATTTGTATAATAAGTTTATAAATATTAACAACATTAATATGTTCATTACTTTTAGGACCGGAATTTAATGCGTCTTTACTGCCTGGCTTTCGTAAAAGGTAAGACGTAAGTCAAGTCCACGTCATACATTTTAGCAAAGCGTCATCATAAAGATATCAACCATAATCACACCCTAGTCTCGTATGATCACAGCGATATCACAAAGTCAACGGTTATGATCACATGATCATCTGCTTCCCGTCAAAATATTCAAATGAAAACGACTTCACACCATAATTACCCTCCCCACCATAAATTAAAGAAAATTTAAAAAATTCAATCATCTAGGGGATAACCTACGAAACACTCTACAATCTTCATCATACATCACTTTTCTCCACGATCTTCTAAACAATCGAATCAAAATCCCGATTTTCGATCTTCGATTCGTAGAAACCTAACAGATTGGAGTTTTAAGTCTTTGAAATTTGTCAAAAGAATTTTCCATTTTTGTCCAATGGGTGATTATCGGGTACGATCGGATGAAGAGCAACCACCTCCCGCGCAAATCCCTTTGCTCAGTTCAAACATACAAAACGACGCCGTTCAATACCAGCGGGAACAAGAGATCCGGACAAGTAACAGTCTTGATGATGCGTTGGAAAAATTGGAGAGGTTTTTGACTTTCCTTGGTTTCAATCAATCTTCTTTGCAGAGTTTCTCCTTGTCTTGGGCGGCGTTCACGGTGGTAGGGGTTTTGCTTCCGGTTTTGATTCTGGAACTTTCCAAGTGCAACAACTGCGAGGTGTACCAGATTAAGGATTTCGAGGTTGATGTCGTGGCTTCTCAGGCTTGCTTGGCAGCCGTTTCTTTGTTTTGCATTTCGTTTAACCTCAGGAAGTATGGTCTGCGGAGGTTTCTGTTCGTTGATAGATACGGTGATCAAGTAGCTCGCTTTTCCGACCTCTATGTTAAACAGATTTCGGTAAAGTTTCTCTCGTTCGTGTGTTAAAAATAATTGGTTAGCAATTACTCCATGCTTGATCATGATTAAAGCATTCAATGTTTTGATTTTTTATTATAATCCAATGTTGAATTACGCGTTCATGTCGTTGGATCAATCTTATGATTAATCCTTGCTGGGAAATGATTTTCCGACTTTGTCTTTTGCTTGTTTTATAGATTTGGAAATTACCAAGAATTTTAAATAATTACATCTCTTCAATGGCACCAGGAAAAGTTTTTTTTTTTTTTGCTGAACGAATAGTTAGATCAGTCAATGAAACTAGAATTATGAATTTTATGTTATTTGGATTCGGGTGTGATTGTGAAGGGTTCTTGGAAGGTCCTGCCTATTCCTATATATATGTTCAGAAATATGTTGAACACAGGTATTTCAATCAAAATGAAGAATCTTATCAGCATAGTACGAATCTTCTAATAGTTTTGGCACCAGCAGTTTTGGTAATAATAATGAAATTAAGATGCATTTGAATATTTTCCTTTTTTTATCACTTTATGTTGATTTGGATTAAGTTACATTTGTATAGGCTTCTATGCGCCTGATGGTATGGTGGTTGATTCCATGCTTTATTTTGAAGTTGGCACGTGAGGTCATTCGAAGTTTATATGTGCACCGTGATTCATGGTGGATATCTGTTGCTATTTTGGTTGCTTTGATTTTTTCCTGGACTTGTGTTAGTACTGTCAGTATATCCACCAGCATCTTGTTTCATTTACTCTGCAACTTGCAAGTTATTCACTTTGATGATTATGCAAAGCTCTTGGAAAGGGAATCTGATGTTATGGTATTTATAGAAGAGCACATTCGACTATGTTATCATCTCTCCAAGATAAGCCATAGGTTCCGGATTTTTCTTCTTTTACAGTTCTTGGTTGTCACAGTTAGCCAATTTGTGACTCTTTCCCAGACAATGGTATATGGTGGAAAAGTTAACTTCATAAATGGTGGCGATTTTGCAGTAAGTCATGATACTTATTTCTCTATAGTTTAATCATTCAGTCCGTAAGCTTAACTAATCCTCCTGAATAAAAACAGAAGTTGCTAATTGCCTAATTTGAATGAATGTTAACTTTCCGGAATTTTTTTCAGTTCCTGGTTATTTTCTTCAGAGTTTAACCATTTAATGCTTTCGAGTTTTAATTGTTGTTGTCTGTTCTCTTTCTTGTCTTTTTCTAGATCTCCTCGATTGTTCAGGTTGTTGGGATCATTCTTTGCTTGCATGCAGCCACAAGAATTTCTCATAGAGCTCAAGGAATTGCATCATTTGCAAGTAGATGGCATGCAATGGCGACATGTACTTCAACTGATGCATCCCTGAGAGGTTCAAACAGTGCAGGAAGCATGGAAGCTCTAAATCATTCAAACTCGCTACATATGACCTTTTCTGAAAGTGATCTGGATTCCGTGGATTACTTTGCCATGCCTACAACTACACAGTTGGCTTCTTATATGTCTTCGTATCACAGAAGACAAGCTTTGGGTATGCAATTTATCTTGTTTCTATGCCTTTTCTGTTTTATCATTTCTCATATGAAGATTTAGGGCCATGCTTATGCTTATAATGAAACAACAATGTGAACCTTGCACTACCACTATAATTAGCTTAGAAAGAAACACTTAGTGGGTGCACTCTATGTAGCTTCGACTCTTTTTTTTCTTGAAGTACCTATGTCCGCCACTGTGTCTGATGTATATCTAACCATGGGTGTGGGATATGAAATTCTTACGACCTTCCAAACATATGGAAATCTTGGAAAAACTGAACATATTTGTGTCAGACCCATACCCATATCTGACACTGGTACCCTAGTCCAAGTAACATAGGATGCACTTGCTGTAATGTTTTTAACTGAACATCTGCGGTGATATGAAAGTATAACTGTAATACGGATCTCCTGGGCATCACCAAAATATTGTTTTGGTATACAATATCATGTATCTATTTCGGTTGCTCATAGAATCTAAGATTTGTTCAGTTGCAAAATATTGTTTTGGTATACAATATCATGTAGCTATTTATGTTGCTCATAGAATCTAAGATATGTTCAGTTGCAAAGTTCTAATTCCAATACAACATCCAATATTAATCTGTAGAAGATGGTTAGTTTGTATCAACTTTATGAAGTTTTATTCTTCTGATTTCCGTCTAACGGAAATGGATATTCTTACTGTATTTTTAATCCTTGTTGCTCCTACTCTTCTTTTTTCTTGAAGTACCCAAATCTGACTTCCGTATCCAATGCATAAACAGATATGGATAAATAGATCTGACGCTCCATGAATCTTTCAGTTATAGGGAAAAAGTTTAAACAAATTGAGCGTACCGGGTTGAATACATACCCGTACCATACATTCATCCGAATTTGAATATCGTATTTGACCTAGTAAGTGGATTTGTACTAGCTTTGCATCTATAGTTTATAGCATTTTGATATAGTTACTTGAAGAGGGATGGAGATATTTAGTTTGCAATCAGGTGTCCTAGTTTTGCTATGAGAACTAGATTAGTCATATTAACACCAGGCACAGTCAAACCTGTTATTTCAACCATAAAGTTTTTTGTTCTTTTGGTACATCTTATCCTCTCTCTTTTTTCTCTCTAGGTTTTGTCTTTGTCATTGGTTGACATAAATGCTTTATTCAGAGGTAAATACAGAAATATTGAGAATGAAAATTCTAGCCTGGAAGGTTGCATCTATTCAACTCTTTTAGTATAATTTAGAGCAAAATTAATTAATTCAGTTCTAAGATCAACCCCAGGGCTCAGCCCAGTAGTTTCATGTATTCATCTTTAACCGATAACATCCAGCAAAGCTAGGTTCAAATTCAAGCATTTGTAATCCATTTCTTTAGTCCCCGACCGTATGACCTCCGTTGTAAACCCACACCCCCCCCCCCCCAAAAAAAAAAAATCAACCCGTACAATCTTACATAAAGACTGAGAATTTCCTGGAGTCGTTAGATCACATAAACTTATGGTCAAGGTTAAAAAAATTAGGTCAGAGGTCAAACTAGTTAGACTTCCAATATTCCTGTCCAACCAGATGAGCTGCATGATTTGGTCAACACCCTGTTTTTATCATGTAAAAAGTAGTTTTAATGTTATATAAATAGTAAATATAATTTGTAACTAATAAATGCATGCACTTGGCTTAAAGTTTTATATCTTTAATATTATAATAAACATGTTCAAATCTTATCAAGTTAGTAATTTTTTTAGAAGATTTATCTAATCATTTTTTACCGATTAAACTGGCTCTATTCTAGTTCAAGATTTCACTGTGTTGATATACTGTATTGGATCGGACAGTGACGATTTTTGGTTCAATCGGCTCGACTGACTTTTTCATTTTAGTTAGTTAATCATTGCTTATGGGGTTTAATGTTTTGTGTCATACAGTGATGTATTTGCAAGCCAACCCAGGGGGCATTACCATATTTGGATGGACAGTTGATCGGGGATTCATCAACACGATCTTTTGCATTGAACTTTCATTGGTTACTTTCGTACTTGGACGGACAGTAGTCTTCGGTTCTACCTAACAAAATCTCCAATCAAACAAATCAGTTTCTCCAGTGATAATACACCTTCAATTCCAAGAGAGTTTTCAAATTTATAGGCGATTGATTGCTATTCTTGGTTCATAGCATTGTCGAGCCATTAGCTAGCTCACTGTTTCCCTGATGCTACGAAAATGACTCGCCGACCACTGCACACGGTAAATTGTTGGGAATGAATGGATGAAGCGGAGATAATGGAACCGACTGTGATGAGGTTCGCCGGAAGGTCTTTGGAAGTCAGGCAAATTTCTCTACTCTTAAGCTTATTAATCCATTATACTTCATTGTATGTCGAACAAGAGAGTTCTTTTTAATTATTATTAGAAAGAAAATTTTATATTTACCACATGACTGCAATTGTTCAGCAGTAATCACATCTCAGAATCCAATAGTTGTATATTTGTGTATGGAACATGGATACGAGGATAACCTTCGAACGACCCTTAAAATACACGATTTTTTAAAACAAATATATCTGTATCAAACACATTCAAATCTTTCAACAGAATCCAGAGTACATTATATATAGAGAGGGAAAATATAAGAACAGGGGATTTGAGTCAGACATGGCATTGAACATTTTGCTGCAGAGTTTTAAATATCAATTACCAACAAAGGGAAGGCAACTTGAAAGAGAATGAAAAAGGCAAATGACCGGTCCTCCTTGTGTAATCTGGCCTTTCAGAAGTTCTCATAGCGTTTTCATTCAGTTTCGATTCTGCATTTGTCGCAGCAAGTTTGTTTGCACACTTCTCTTTCGCTCGAGCTTTCATTCTCTCAGCTTTCACCTAAACATCAACATGAAAAGTATAGGTAAGATGGGCTGGACATTACTGTGACCTAGTAGTAAAGTAACTATGTCACCGGGACTTGAGAATGAGTAGCAGGTATAAATGTTATATTGCTCCGACTCTTTAATTTTCTTGAGATAACCATATTCGGCAAATATCGACATATACGACAAGAGTATAGTACAATTAAACATAAAAACATTCCTAGCAACATAGAATACAAGCATGTGTGACACGAGCAGGCTCGGACTCCGGTGCGTGTAAAATTTTCTTAAGTTTTCTTCATGTATTTGGAAGGTTCTTGGACAATCATAGTCCCATGTGAACGAAAACAAATGAATAATAATTTAATAATAAATGAATATCTAGTAAAGGTAAATCTTTTAATATTAATTTAACATCCTATCATAGATTTCAGAAAAGATAAATCAAAAACACTTTTTAAATAGGTTGGTTATAGTTATTCAAAATGCCCTAATAACATAATCTTTCTTAGTTGATCGTTAATCAAAGAGATGCTCGAATAACTAATTCTCTAGTTAATTAGATAATCTCATAAAAACATTGCTAGGATTTAATCTATTCGATAGTTTTATGAATTAAAGAGACTCAATCCTTAGTTAACCAATTCACACCAATGTGGATGATTCAAACTATATCTTATATCTGCATAACATGTTCCTGAGTTATTTTATTATTTGTATTAAAACATGTCCACAATTACGAATGAGGATATTTCAATTAGCAATATAAAGATTTAATAAATTTTAGATTGTTCAGTTTATATATTTTTCTCTTTTTGAAGAGCCATTTTTAATTTTATTAATTACTCACCCGCTTTAAATCCAATTTCAAATAAATTTAAACCACGCACTCTTAAAAAAATTAGAAATACATATATATCTTCAATTCCTATTATTAACAGAAAATTTATTCTTTTAAAATTATTCGTTTTCATTAAATTTGAACCTTTGGTTGATTTATTTGTAGTTATTTTCTTCCTATAATTTGTTTAATTCCTTTATATTCTCATCCACAATTTTTTTCTTCCAATAGTTTTTTACTCCCTTCAATTTGATTTGTTAAATAACATTATAAATCTTACTTGTACATGTGAAAAAAGATATGAATAAATATATATGTATATCTTATATGACAGGAGAAAATCGTTTAAATTTAATCAACATGAATCATGATATTATAAAAGTTACAGTTAAATTTAAAGAGAGGCTCGAACAAATTGACTTAATTCGACTCGACTTGAATTTTATAAACTCGAGTCGACTCGAAAAAAATTCAAATAAAATTTGAATAATAAAATAAGACATGTCAACTTAATTAACTCAAAATTTTTTAAATCGACTCTACTCAATCAAATACACATTCATAAACCTTATGTCTTTAATTTTTTTAAATGAGAAAATGGATAGTGTGAATGGGACATGTCATTGAAAATTATTTTAAACTTAAGACTCAATCAAACACATGTGCACCTACAAATAAAAAAAACATATATATATATATATATATATATATATATATATATATATATATATATATATATATATATTAAATTGAATCATTATAGTAAAATATGTTAAATATATAGTAAATTCAAACATGATTCTAATAAACGATTTGTCTCTAAATCGACTCATGATAAAAAATTATATAAATATACAATAAGTGAAAACAACATAATATATAAAAATTACATGTTTGATACAAAATTCTCTAATATATCATATAATTTTTTTCATCAACTTCACACGTGAAATATTTCACCGTTAACCATTTTGTCCAATTCCGTCACGGAATCTGACTTGACAACAGCGGACTACTCATAACCTAACACGTTTAATTTAAAAAATCATTTACTTAAGGTATAACAACGAGATTAGCCCTCAAAGGTTCACTTTTACTTGGGCATAATAGAAAGATTAATTCTCAAAAGTTCACTATTGTTCAATTTCGCCTTCAATCTTTTTACAGTGTCAAGCTCATTGATTCAAAAATTTAAAAACAGTTCCTTTGAATTCTTTATATTCTTAAGGCATAATATCAAAATTAGTCCTCAGTAGTTCATTGATTTTTCAATTGTACCCTTATCTTTTTAGAATTTCAACCTCAATATTTCAAAAAAAATTCAAATAAATCATTTCTAATATAATTGGGATTGTAAATGATACGACATAGATCGTGAGCTACTTGAGTTCGATTCAGTTAAAGCTTGGTCAACACTTGAATCGAATGGACTTAACACGACTCGAGTTCTTAATGAGCCGAAGCAAGATACTTAACACTCGACTCAAAAAACTGGAGAGCAATTAAAAATAATAATATATTAAATTTTTAATATTTAAAAATCATACTATTGATAATATTAACATTTATATGTTGTTGTTTTTTTAAAATACAATAGAAGACTTTTATGTACTTAAGGTTCAGGCTTGAACTCGAGTTGGAGCTTCAATCGAGCTAAGTGAGAATGTTTCAAGTTCAAGTTTTTTTATCTCGGGTCGAGCTTCAATTTTTATTTTCGAGTTTGAGTCGAGCATGACAATTTTAAGTTTGCAAGTTTTCGAGTCAAATTGAGCTCAACTTTAAACTTTTCGAGTCAAGTCAAGCTCAACAATACTCGACTCGACTCGTTTACAACCCTAGGTATAATAGAGAAATTAGTCATCTATTTTGTAAATTTTTTGGGGTAAATATGTAATTTTTAGAAGTATATGGTCATTCTTTAAGTTTCTAAACTTTGGGGGTCAATGTTGAAACCCTAGAAAATTCAAGGATTTAACTCCCTGATTTTCAATTTTGTGGGGTAATTTTATATTTTTATAGTTTATATGTTTAGAATTCATTAGTTGATTGCATTAGTCCCAAATTATTTTACATTGTAGATTTTTAAGTCAAACTAGAATATTAAAATAAGGTGTTCCAAAATAATTTCATTAATGGATGATGGAAAAATTAATTAATAATGTTAAAGATCGAACTATGTTTTTTTATAATTAAACTATTAAAATAAAAATTTATTGATTATTAGATTACTTATAATATATTTTATCCAAATAATTATACATGGAATGAAAATTTGAACACTGAAACAAATATTTTAATAATGAAAAATTACAAAACACCATAAAAAGAGATTAAATGGGAAGCACTGTTGAAGTATCTACTAATGTATTAAATGTTTGTATTTATGTAATTAATCTTGGTTGAAAAAAGGAATTAGACAAAAATAAAAAATAAATTTTAAACGATATATTTAAAGGTGATTTATATATACACTTTATTTTATTTTTTTAATTGTGTACTTAAAAGATATTATCAATATGTTTATTAAAAAATTAGTTTTGAGCTTATATTAGGCTGTTCAAAATAATTATTTATTTTAAAAATAAATTTAAAATGTGAAGTTTACATATATTTGTATTTATGAATGCATATAAAAACTTAAAAACAACCATAATCTTGAATTACTTTTTATAATTAACAATAATTTAATACATAATTGAACTTAAAATTTATAAAAGAAAATAAAAATATACACATAAATAAAAAAAATTAGTAAAATCTATTTTGATATAAGAAGGAATGGTACAATGCTCTCCTTGAAATCATAATCATCAAACATGTTTTACTAAATATAAACATTGTTTATAAAACTAATGAACTTACTCTCAGCGAAGTCGTTGTAGTATAGTGGTAAGTATTCCCGCCTGTCACGCGGGTGACCCGGGTTCGATCCCCGGCAACGGCGCTAAGTGTTATTTTTCGCTCCTTTTCTATCTAAAAAAAACTAAAAATTGTAAAATAAAAATTGCTCTCAACAAAGTTGTTGTAGTATATTTGTAAGTATTCTCGCCTGTCACGCGAGTGAACCGTATTCGATCCCCGGCAACAGCGTAAGGTAATTTTACCTGACACCTGATTTAACCGGATACAAATTATATATAATTATTTTAAATATTTATAGTTTGCCATCCACAGAATATTTTACCTCTTTATCATTGGAATTGGTTTCCATTGTGATTAACAGCAGAAGCAAGACCCATTCCTGTAACAATAATAAAATTAACAACAGTCCACACACACTTCGTGAGCTTCGCCCACTCTCTTAGTTTAACACTCTCCGGACTTCCCAAAGCTAGAGCCAAACAACATTTCAAAACGCAATATTAAACCTGAATTCTTTTTCTCCTCACTTTCAGCTTTGTTTAAAGCCTTCATTTTCTGGCTACTCTCTTTGCTTCTCGTTCTTATTCTCTCCTCGCTGTTCGCGTATTCCACCGAGCTCCGATCCCGATGGCTGCTGTTTCCGGATCCAATGTTGTTTCTCTGAAATCCGCCTCGAGGTTTGCTGATTCCAGTGACCGTAAGTTTGTTCAGGTTAGGCAATGGTCTCCGATTTCTGGTGGCTTCGGATCGGTTCAGACTCGACCGAGCATCGGACTCCAATGCAAATCGAGACGGTCGTTTGCTTCATCCGGTATTTGTTATGTATTGCTTTTGATCACTTTTTTTCTTCATGTTTATGTAGTATTTTATGCTAATTTCGCAGAAAGCTCAGCATGTTTGCTATTTAATTAAGGATTATGAATTCTTGTCAAATTTATTGTTGGAGGCTTGTGAAGTTTTTTTGTTTGGTTAATTCAACTGTTAATAAGCTATACATGTTAATAATATGAGAGATTATTGATGATTTACGATAGAGATATTTCTAGTTAATTTGGTTCAAAGATGCTGAGTTGCAGTCGAATAATTGGAGCTTGTGGAATTTTGTCGTTTAACTAGTCTAACTGATAATAAGATACATTTCTTAGTAAGCTGAGTCATCATTGATGATGTACGAGAGATATATTATCTAGTTAATTTGTCTTTTGATATATTTTTTTCTTTTCCAGGTGTAAAAGCTCAGGTTGCCACTTTTGAACAAGCTAGCTCTGAAGCGGCTCAAAAAGTGGAAGCTCCCGTAGCCATAGTTCCTGAAGCTTCTAGAGGCATCGATAAAGCAGTTGCATTGACTCTAGGTAAAGCAGGTTGCAAGGTTAGCGAGTTTTCCTTTTCAGGATCCTACCGTCATTTTTACCTTAATTTGATGTAAAGCATACGGAGAATGAAACTTGTGGCAGCTGAAGTCTTGACCAAAACTACAAATCGGAAGATAACTTCAACGTATGAAGTTTAAAATTTATAAATAGTATTAATTATAATAAAACTTTGATTGGCATTAGGTTTGCATGTAGTTCTATCTCTTGAATATGAATATGGTTATCATCCCATCAATTTTTAAGAGTAAATTGCTCATGATTACCATAACAATTGCATCTCCAGTGTTCTTCAAGTACGTTAAGGACAACTGTTAAACGGCTGAAGAAATATTTTCTATGTTGTATGCACTACTATTTGCTTCGAGTATGATGATTGTTGATGCCTTTGTGCTATTACAGGTCCTAGTGAATTATGCCAGATCATCGAAGGAGGCTGAGGAAGTTTTGAAAGAGGTAAACAATATGCCCTGGAAGAAATGTATATCAAAACTTGAGTGGGAATTTTATTATTTTTTCTCAGCTCGCGGAATTTTGTCAACTGATGCATAAGAATTCATATGAGTAATCTGGTGTTATGTTTGCTTGAATAGGATCTTTTTAGTTTTACTTGAAGATGAGAGTTTGTAGGGTGCATGAAATCTAATTCTAGGATTCGTTATATGCTCATTTTTTTCATCTGGCTGTATCATCTAAAGGGAAAAATAATTGCAAATATGATCCTTTTTCCAGATATAATAATTGTTGGATGCTTTTGTACCTTTTATTATCTTTAGTCTTTACTTAAGTCTTGCTTTAAAATCTTTTAGTAAAGTATTTGTAATGATATTTACAGCTATTAGACCATACTGCATGGATGAAATGATTAATATTAATAGCTTGTTGGACATTTTTGTAGATCGAGTCATATGGTGGTCAGGCTGTTACTTTTGGTGGAGATGAGAGGCGTTGTTCAACAAGTTTCATGATGGAAGGTCTTACAGGGATTCTCTGACTGGTGCTAGAAGTTCGCTGGCAGATCGTCAAGGTAAGAATATGGGGGGAGTTGGGGAATCTAACGAGTAGTTTGAACGTCTTAATAGAGATTGGATCAAGAAGTCATTAACAGGTATCCTCAAAGATGCGTATGACATGGAGTTCATTCAGGAAGCTATTGTTAATGAAGGTTTTCATGCGAAAGTGGCCAGATGGGGTTATTCAAAGAATGCTTGTATTATTACGTTTTCGTCATTAGAAGAAAGAAATATTTGGAGGAAAGAATTGAAGATCTAAAAGTGTGGTTTGACTGGCCAGTTCCAATTTCGGTTGACGGGGATGTTCCGTTAGCTTTTTGTTCGGTTTCATTGATGGGAGTTCCGCTGAATGTTTGGAGTGAAGTGTTTTTTAGAAGTTTGGCTGAAAGATGGGGATCGGTGATAGAGATAAAGGAGGAGACGCTTCAGAAGAAGGATTTTCGGGTAGCTCAGTTTCTCCACCATCGGTGACAATTAATACGAATGGAAGGTCTTATGCGATCAAGATCAAAGTTGAGACGGTGGAGAATTATTTTCCCGAATCAAACATGAGAGAAATAGAGGAGGAATCGGAAGAAGGCTCATCGGATTCTTTTCAAACATTCATCACATTTAAAGAATCTGTTAAAAACACAAAAACCAGAAAGTTAAGAGAAACCACCGTATGTTACTCAGACTCGGGGTATGAGTATCATATACAGGTATGTATCTGACAGAGTATCTTCAATTTATGTCTTAAGTTTTTCTAAGGATCATATCCCCATACTCAGTATCAAAAAATGTGTCAGCTATAGGTGTCAGATACAGTACTTTAAAAAAAATGAAGAGTCAGATCAACATAAGAATTGTCATGCCATGTCTGCATGAGTCCAGAAATTACAAATGTAAGATAGTTATCTGATATAGAAGACTATCCTACACACCATTGATGTCTCTGTTGGTGCGGAGGAAAGATCTGTTGCCTGAATCTCCTCATCTGAAGCTTGCTTCTTTGCAGGTGGCAGATCCGTATCGGCAGCAATGGATAAAAGAATATAATCTACTAGCTCAGATGCAATCAAACAATGGCAATTAGGGTTGTGACCCTTGATTCCTACAACCTGCATAGAAGAAATATCTTCAAGCTGATCTGGGATTTTTTCAATAAACCAAACAAGACCAACAATGTTTTATAACGTTTGTTACCTGGCCTGGAAAAAAAAAGAAAAGTGGCACAGTTTATTTAACTCTAGTCGAACAAGTTGTCCTCCAGAATGCTCAACACTGTCAAAACGATAGGAGATACCCAAAAAGGAAAGTTAGAACGGCATATACAAATACTATTTTCCTAATGTGAATAGTGTCGAGCATAGTGAGGACTTTAATTTACTAGGTAAGGCTCTTAAATAATAAACCAAGGCATGACGGAAATCCAGATTAGGCTGAATAAAAGTATTATATCAACCAAATTGGTTTCACTGTATGTTAAGATAGCTCTTATTCAGTATTTAATTACAATGGCACGCATGTTAAAGTGTCTGATTGTTCATTTGTTATGCAGATGACTCGTCAATAATAAAATCCTCTGTTATCTTTGACTATGCTTAGACCAGTTAACACATAAAGAAAGCCTATTTGGTTCCCTCTTAATTGGTTGAAGTACACAAATACAATAAACAGAAGGCCCATGACATTTTACCTGCTTTGCAACAAAATGGATTTATCATTTAGATGACCCTCGCGATCACAGCAGATCATCCCAACAGAAAATATGCTCCTCTGAAGAAATAAATTCTTTTAGATGCATGCACAATTAAATATTCTGAGAGATGAGGACTGGTGAAACAACAAAATACCTGTGAAGCAAGTGATGAATCCATTGGAACTTCGTAGGGACTAGACGCAAAAAAAGCAGCTGCATTGAACTGTACCAATGATAAGCCATCTTAGTAACATACATTGGTGACAAAAGAAACAAATGATTTATGTTATAATAACTATCAGGTACCCTGTCTTCAATCCTGTCATACAAGAACCTGCAACCTCTTTTTGGCCCTGATCTGCGGACCACCAATGAACAGCTTTGCTGAGGTTGAATTCTTTTGATAATGCCATCTTCAAGATTCTATTGATCTTCAATGTCATTGGCAACCTCTATAGCAGGAAGATTATCAATGTTGAATTTGACCACAAATTTGTTGTATCATGTCCCAAATGGTGCCACTAGTTTTGATTTTCTCTCAGAAGAAAAAATGTTCCCATTCATTTTATGCGCTGAGTCATATATGTCCAAATGAAGTTTCTCAGATTTCTCTGTTGGAGTTCCAAGAATAACATTGTTTGTATTTTCATCTTCAGCATCTAAAACCCTGGTCAAATCACATCCCATGATTTATATACTAAAATCAGAATTATGCAATGTATTCCAAAACACAGCACTTGAAGCCTGGCAATGCTTCAAGAGGAAATTCAACCACAATTACCAAATTAAAAAAAATGAGAACATCCACAAATTCCATATGGATTGTAGTGAGGGATTCAACCACAATTAGAGATTCATTTGTTTCCACCGATCGCCCACTCTGCACCAAACCTGAACTTAATTTAAGTTCTAGTGCCCTAACCTGACCCCAAAATGAACAAACCCCCAACCATAGCTACCCTGTAACTTAAGCTCCATTCTAAAAAACTACCAACTAAGCCGAATACAAACCATTAAAAAATATATAAAAAAAAACCTACAATAAAGTTTAGCAAACTTAAGAAACCATAATTAAAATATATAAAAATAGTTCTAAAATTAAGCGAGAGAGGTATCTTAGTAAATATCCCAAGTAGGGGATTTTGTCTAAAACCATTCCAACCTGAACCCAAAAATTTTAATAGAAAACCCACACGACCTGGCCTAACTAGAATCCGATTATCAGAAAACCATTGCTCTAGGGTCAAGGCAGAACACAATAGATTTGGATTATTTTAACAACTCTGCCATATGATTTCTGCTGGGATTCAACAACAAGTGTACAGAAGTTCCGTATAAATGTAAAATAATCAAGTGATACATAGTAAACGTAACAATATATCATGAAAAAGTGCTCACACGTCAACGTCTTTAAAAGAGTACATATGCAAACCAGCATCCTTTTGAACACCCGCCCCTACTTGTTCGTTCTGCAGGTGTACTAAAAACCCATCCATTTCGGCATTCCTTACAAGAGGTTCAACAAGTTGCCTGCACCAAAAGTGGGTTTTTAGTCGGAGTATTAACACTTCTACAAGCCTAATAAATATTCAAAATTTAAGCAAAAACAAAGAAAGCGAACTCATATAACAAATTGTTCCATAAATTAAAATACTAACAAAACAAAAGAGAATTAGCTAGATCGGTAGAATTACCGATTGAGATAATAAGCCTCCCAGCTTGAAAAGACATCGGAAGGCTGTAGACTGTAATCTCGACAAAAAAAAAACACGGCCTAACCAAAATAAAAAAAAGAACTCGTATATTTGTTTACCGTTAATTATTAAGAAAAAGAGTGAGAGAAACGATAAAATTGAAATTTTAAAAAAGAAAACTCACATTTTTTTAATATCTCTTCTTCTTCGTCAAGAGTAAACCCACTCTTCAAGAACTCTTCTTTGATCTCCTCTTCCATGGCTGGCTCCGTCTTTCTTTCTGATTCTCTCGGTTCATTTTTGTCAATCTAATCTATGGTTTCATTTTGCTGATGCGAAAATGGCGGGAAAATCTTCGCTTTGGATGAGTAAATGGGAAAAATGGAGCTTCTGAACTTTCGCGGGGATTTTGTTGTTCCAATTTATTGTTAGCCCCCACGTTTTTCATTTATTCGCGATTATACCCCTACTCTTACTTTGATCTTAGACCTATCTAGACTCGGGGTTGGATAATTAAATTTTTACCTTTAGTTCATTATTAATTCAAGTTAAATATATTTAAAAGGGTGAATTTTATTATTATTATTATTATTAAATCAAATTGAGTCGGATATTTTTCATTTTAAATTTAAATCTGAATTTAAACTTGACTCTATCTTATCTTAAAAAAGTTAATTAACTCAAATTCAATTTTTTAATACAAAATGAAATTTATCTCTATAAGTTGAGTCGGGACGAAATCTATCATATTTGGATTAAGTGCACATTCCTAGGTAGAGTCAAAAGACTAAGGTGGTGTTTGTTTTTGTAGAGGTAAAGAGTCTGCAGTCTGCGGACCACATCTGCAAGCATCTGTATCAGAAGAGGTGGACCAAAAGTCTGCAAGAAGAAGACTGTTTATTTTTTAACGTTTGCATACTGCTAAAATAAATTGAAATATAAATAAACAGATTTTTTAAACTTAAAAGAGTTTTGCAATAGTGAGATTTAAATAATTTTAATTTTACAATACTGAAATTTAAATAATTCATACAACTACAATAATAATTTTTTTTTAGAAAAACAAACATCACCTTATTAATTCTATTATAAGTCTCACATAATCACATGTATTATTAGTTTTATAAGTTTTATAGAATAAAATTTATAAATGATCATTAAATTATATAATTTTTTTAAATATGCAATTATGTAATACTTTTAATTTTTTTTAAATATATATTCATAATTTATTTTTATAATTATATGATATTTTTAGAAATTTTTTTTTAATTTATCAAATTATTTTGTGATTATATTTTAAAATTTTAAAAACATAATTTATAATTTTTATATTTTATATTTTAAAATCTTAATTATCCAACAATGAAATCATTTTTTATTAAGCAATGTGGTTTAAATACTTACATTTTGTATAAAAATTTAAATATAATTTAAAAATAATAAATCCAAAAAAAATATTATATTTAAACTTAAATCAAAATAATTAAAATAAATATAAAATTTTAATAATATATAAAATAATTTATATGATATAAAATTAAATATCTATAATATAATATTAAAAATTTAATATTTAATTTATTTAAAAAATTAATATCTATAATATAATATTAAAAAATTAATATTTAATTTATTTAAAAAATATTAAAATTAAAATCAAATATAATATAAAATTAAATATAAAACCTCTTTGAAGAGGTTAGAAGACGTCTGCAGACAAAAGATCACGTCTGCGTCGCGCAGACCACGCGCAGACGTTAGAAGAGCTTATGTCTTCTAAAAAACAAATGGTCTGCGAAGCCCAATGTCTGCACGTGGTCTACGCGGCGCAGACATAAGAGCTTTGCAGACCTTACACAGTAAAAATAAACACCACCTAGGAGTAAGTTGGAAAATGTTAGGAGGTTACGAGGTTGATATAAACAAAAATAAAGGTTAGGGACTAAATTAAAAAAAATACAAAATTCAGGGACTAAACACTCCTCATCCCAAAATCAAAGTACCACCTCGGCTAGAATGGTCGACCAGCGAGCTGGCTTTATATTTCATCCAAGTAAAAAATGTTGATGGTGGGTCGATTTGATTTGAAAAAATTGAATATTTTTTTACTCAATTTGATGTTAAAATATTCGATAATTTGACGCGACACGTAATGTATAAACTCAATTTGACTTATAATTACATAAACTCAATTCGTTTCGAATTTTTTTTGAATTCAAGTTGAATTGTAAAATGATACTCGAATAATTCAATTTTTTAATAATTAGCGAATTGTTTTTCAAGTATGAGTCAAGTCACTCAACTATTACTATGCATAATATATGTATATCACATATGAAAAAAGTATATAAAAAAACATTTTATGCAAATTGTATATGGCTTATAAAAAATTGTTTAAATTAAAATCAAACATTATCATAATATTATAATTGTTTACAATTAAATTTAAACAGAAAAATATGAGTTGTAAAATAAGACTCGTTATCTTAAATAACTTTAGAGTAAACTACGCGTTTAGTACTAAACTATCAATTTTGATTCATTTTAGTACCTAAATTTTCATTTTTTTTCAAAATCATACCTAACGTTTAGTGTTTGTTTCATTTTAGTATCCAACCATTAAAAACCTAACAGACGGGCTGACATGGCATAATTATGGTGGATGGACGACCAATTCGAACAGTGGACCACGAGATAATGACGAGTCAACCAACATAGTCAAGTTTCAGGCCCATTGGACAGTGGACCACGAAGATCGAAGGATTAAGAAATCGAAATGTCTATTGTCGATTTGGGAAGATTGAGGTGTTTCTCGATGAAACGAATGTCGGAATCGCGTTTAGAGGGTAAAAAAGTGCAGGCTGGAAAGTTTTGGTTTCATTGGATGACAAATGCAACGACCGACGACTGTAGATGCAATGGTTTGCAAGCCCGTCCATTAAGTTTTTTAACGACAAAGTACTAAAATGAAACAAAAACTAAATGTTAGTTAATTCACGCAGTGGCTATCACCAACAAAAAACTATGCGATCGTACCTCATCCCTTTTTATTCCTTCACTAAAGATTAAGGTTGTCTGTCGATTATACGTGTTGAAAAATAATAGAGTTGAAATATAAAAGTTAACGACCGATCTATCTATCGAACCAAAATTCATCCTTTGAGATAAGAGTATACAAAAATTAAAGAATTGATAATAAGAAAGAATTTACAAATAATTATAATTGAAAAATTAAATTAAATAAAATATAAAATTAATAAATTAATTAAAAAGTTGTTTTTAAAGAAAAATCAAAATTTTACAAATATTTTACAATGACTAAGGAGTATATAATTCAGTTTCAATAAAAAAATAAAAAAATTTAAATCAAAAGAGAAATTGAAAAAACAAATAAATTCAGAAACAAAAGAACAATGTAAACAAAGAAAGATAATTAAAAAGAGAAATCATCCTAAAACATTAGTATGACAAAATTCAATGTAGTTTGTAGAAATTGATCGATTGTAGATGACGCATGGTGGTCGGGATGAGAAAAGGAAAAATAACATGACCAATACGTGGTTTCCAGACAATAATTTATGTCAGCAAAATATAGGTTAATGTCATTTTAATGTTATTGATTTTATGCTCCAGTGTGTAATATAAAAATTATTCAAAATTTAATGATTAATTTGGGGTAAATTATACATTTAGTATTTAAATTATTATTTTTATTCCATTTTGGTATCTATTGTTTTTCAAAAACTATATACATAATATTTAGTCTATGTTTCATTTTGGTATCTAGCCATTAAAAACTTAACGGTGATATTGAAGTGTCACCGTAAGATAATGCCACATCATCATTGAAAAAATAAAATATAACACGTCAACAATTTTGTTAAATTTCTAACGATAGGGTATTAAATTGAAACATAAACTAAATGTTAGATATGATTTTCAAAAATATAAAGTTTTGTACTAAAACGGAACAAAAGTAAAAGTATAGGTACCAAACTTGAACTTTACCCTTATTTTTTAAAATTTTAGTGATTAAAATAGGAATAAGAAGAAAGCTGAGTGATGAAATTCTGAATTGACCCTAATGGCAAGTCTGATTCATCGTCTCTCCATCGAGCGAGCGAGCGATGTGGTGGTTTTCTCTCTTGAGAGAAAAAGGCGCGCAGTATTAATTAAAAATCAAATGGAGAGAGTAAGCATTCATTCACACTACCAAATGATGAGTTAGTTACTACAGACAACAAAACAAAACAAATTTGGAACGTTCACAGTACATGAAAACAGAGCATCGAGTTGGAAAAATGTCGGAAGATTTTCTCCCCATGATATCATCCGACATCCAAAAGATGAAATTCGCGCAGTCGCGCTACCCAGTGATGCATTGCTCGCTCTTTGACCTGTCCAAGTTTATCCATGAAAACAGAGCATCGCCATTTTAGCTCTCGCGATGACCAAAAACAAACCAACTGCAAACATTTACGCAAGAAACACTCGAAAAGAACATTCGACTTGGAACAATGCTGGAAGCCTTTAACCTTTCCTCGCTCGAGAAAGCAGAGCTGGTTCAGTTATAAATTAACCCTTAAGCGTTGCTTGAAAAATGCAATTAGAGCTACATTCTTCCTTTCAGAAAGAAAAAAAAAACTCGAATTCGCAGCCTTGAAGAACATGTCGTCGGTGATAGCACAAGTTCATCTTGATGGAAACAATGAAGCAGGATGGAGGTTTGATGATCGTAGCGGCACACTTCCTGAAGCTCCTGGTCGTACGATTGGCTTAAAGGTCACAGACGGGTCTAACTCGTGGGAGTTTAAATGCAAGAGTAAAGGAGGCAACACGTACTACATCAGCGGCTCTGGGTGGACTAGTTTCTTCAATGGAGCGAGGATTAATGATAGGGTCACTCTTTACTCCAAAGAAGACGGCGAGAATTTTCACCGAGTCCATGTGAATCAGAGAGCTTGATCGAGTATGGATGCTATTTGTGGGATCGTCAAGAGTGTTTATTTCTCAAAGTGTGTAGGATTGAAGTCGTATCTTTCTTCTTTTCTTTCATAGATAAATCATGTATGTTTCTGTTATTTGCAGCTTTGTTTTGTTAAGGAAGGCAGCAATCTGCTGCATTGTCAACGTCTTGTAATCCTTGAGGATATCAATGAAATGGTTCTTGGTTCTGCGATAAGCAGCTTCAATGTGAAGTGGAACAAATATACAAATCTGAATGTCTTTAATTTAACTCAAACTGTAAAGACAGAGTTAACATTTTCGTGTTTACTTGCCTATTAAGCACGGCCAAAACAAGGAATCAGTCATTTATGCCCCCATAATCTCTGTGGTTTGCCAAGGCGTCAAGCCAATATCCTCTAATCTTACATGGGGGAGTTTCTTGGTCAAGCCCCAGATTAGGCTGAATAAAAGTATTATATCAACCAAATTGGTTTCACACTGTATGTTAAGATTGCTCTTATTCAGTATTTCATTACAATGGCACGCATGTTAAAGTGTCTGATTGTTCATTTGTTATGCAGCTGACTCGTCAATAATAAAATCCTCTGTTATCTTTGACTATGCTTAGACCAGTTAAACACATAAAGAAAGCCTATTTGGTTCCCTCTTAATTGGTTGATGTACGTGAATACAATAAATACAAGATTTATTTATTTTATTAATTTGTTAAAAATTTGTTAAAAATTCTTTTTAACAGAATTAAAAGGAGGAATTAAGGTAGTAACAAACGATAATATAGGTATTTAATTTGATAAAAAAATAATTTAAGAACTTAAAATAAAATCTTTGGAAGCTGATTTTTCATTTAAGCCAAAATTACGCAGGTCTAAATTATTTGAAAATGATAATCCGACTAGTAAAATCGAAAAAAAAAATCAGGGAAGCATGATGTTAGAGATGAATAACAATAATAGCCCCATACAATTTTATAAGGTTTGTATTTTAGAAATCAAGAATGAGGTAAGTGGATTTTATTCCTCATAACATCAGTATCATGCATTTGAGAATTGTTTCAAGCAAATATACAGAATAGGTCTTGATAACTGGAGTTCAAGTTCAAATTGCAGACCCGCCATTAATCTTAAGTGTATATGTACAAACACCAGAAGTCCAGGCCGCCTGAACAGAACCACCACAGGCGGGGACTGATCCCCTGTCCCTTGAAGAAACATTAGACAACAAGCTATTTACAGCCGTGTTACAAGGTGCGGATTAGTACAATGCAAACAACATGATCACAATCTTTATAATGCAGCAGAGCGAATATTAGAATATCCGACATGCATACGTATTGTCAAGATGAGGCGACTTTGTATAGCCTCTCCAGAGGATTGCATTTGTGCATGCACAACGCAAAGGTAATCAGCTCACCCCCCGATATATAGCATTAGGTCGAAGGTCATCCATATTATCTGTGTTTCTGTATCCATCGATCTCCCTGACACCTGTGTAGCCTCTACGGGCTAAATATTCACGGTAATCATCTTCTGTGTAGAAAATCATCTCCTCAGTGTGGACTGGTATGTGATCTGACTCGTCATAGAGGCACAGTTTTATAACCAAACCTGAATGCAGGAGGGGGAAAAATGCGCAAAAAGTTAAGTTCTTATTGTGTTATTCTCTTCTATCAGTGAAAATAATGTCAGCAATCATGTGCCCCAGGCATGTTTGATAGCAAAATAATGTCTTAGAGTTTGACCCCTCAATTCTGACCCAAACCCGACTCAACTTAATTTGACCATAAAAAGTCAAAACACCCAAACACATAATGACATGAACCTAATATGTTAATTCCCTAAATGACCATAACTATATCATCTAAAGGCAACCATGCCGAAGTTACCTTCATCAAGGTGGAGTGTATAATTCCCTAAAGGCATTTCCCTGTCGAGACTGCGAACTATATTGTCTTCATCCTCCAACCAAAATGAACGTTTCGTTCTCAATCTAAATGCAGATTTAATTGCCTCTCTGATGGCATCCGCGGTCCCATCTATACCAATCCTTCTTGTGTAGTCCCCATACTTGATAGTTATAACCCTTCCTCCATATAATTGACAGTCCCCACCTACCAAAAAGAATGTGAAAGAAAATGAGAAGTTGATATATGGAATGGACATTCATTGAATTTAAATTTTTCATCTAAGACGATACTCAGGACATAACACTCTGAATCAAAAGAGTCTGCCTAAATCACATTCACTTGAGCAAGTACAAATGAACACCTGAACCTTGTCCTACATGCAAAACCATCATATCTTTTGGTAAAATCAGTTCAGAGAAAATACTAATTTACAGAACTTACCATTTCCTGAGGCCTCTCTCCAATTCCAAGGTGGAACTCCACTGGCTGCAACTGCATCAGCTGCTGTGATAGCAAGAGGATGTCCATCATGATCTAAGCGTCTTTCAAGATTGAGTGTTGGCCTACCACTAGCTGCACACCGGAATACATAAGCAGAAGGAGTTGCATAACATTTCAAAGACATGATATTGAGAATAAGATTAAAGGCATGCTTCAGTACACAGTTGTTTGCTACGGATCCTTAAGGTACATAATTTTTACTTGTTAATTCTGTATGGAAGTGCATCAATATAACAACTCGACGTGCTTTTCGTTATGTAGGTCCCCACCCTAGTTATTTGCAGTAAAATAAAAACTCCATCAAGAATGAAAACTAATAGAAGGCATAATAAGATCGTGTAACATGAACATAGATTTTATGATTACTAACCCCAGTGATAGATATCCACTTTTTAAACATCTGTGTGTTTAAACCACTAAACAAAAAACTGTACACTAGAAGCACCTAAAAGTTGACAAAGGTGACAGGAAAACCACATATAGTTATTGCTGAAGGAAGCAAATCAATAAATGGAAAGATAAGGGCATCAAAGAGAGGTTAGTCGGGGAAAAAGGTACAGTGTTAAGTTTAAAAAAAGAACCTTCTGTGGAGGTAATAAAAATTGGTCTTATGAGAACTGCGCCTCATTAAGCTCCTCAATCCAGGCAAGAAATTGATGTGGTATAGGGTTGATAAGATTAATGTCATTGCATCCAACAAATTCCATGATTTTCCCAAATTAACTTGACGAAAACCAAGATAAACCCGAAGAAAGCGAACTCAAATTACAACAACATACCTTCAACAGAACCAAATGATATGCCAGTATCATCAAAGCCTGCAAGAGCCATACCATATTGACAAAGAGCATTATAATCGTGATAATAGGATGAAAGACTTGGTATAGGTTGCAGTTTGAATGAGAGAAATCAAAATCTCCAAAAGCAGGAGTTTAATACTTACATACAGCTTTCCTAAAGTGATACGCAACTAGAAGTTTATGTCAAGGGCAAAACCAGATGAAGCCAAAAATACGTAGAATGAAGTGAATGGACAAAAAATCCAGCAACAAAAGGCAACGGAATGGAAATCGATAGATCAATAGTAATAATTATCTCTACCAAAATAATGTTTTAATTCTTAAAACATATTTACTACTACTACTTCCCTGCTCTTATTACAGGTTTTCTAAACTTTAAAGAAACCAGAGAAACCCATGCCCTTTACGCCATGTCTAAACTTAAAAGAAACCAAAGAAGCCTCCAGCGCTTATCTACGTAGAACTTCCCTGCTCTATTATAGGCTATACTCAACTTTAAAAAGAAACCAAAGAAGCCTACAATCCTTACATCATATCGAAGCTTTAAAGAAACCAAAGAAGCCTACAGCGCTTATTGACATTCGACTTCCCTGCTCTTAATGGCTATAATATTCTAAACTTTAAAGAACTAGCAAAATAAAAATTTCTGGTCTGTTGAGCACGATTCATGCTTCAAGGACCTTGAACGCCATACCATATTTTGAATCATGCAGTTATTCTTTTGATGTGGCACCTTGCATCAAGAGCAGATATAATACATACATACATATACATACATACATACATACATACATATATATATATATATATATCCATCTAAAATACCACAATAAAGATATCAGCGGCAGTTTTCAGTATCATCTTCATAAGCAAACCTGAATGCAGGAGGGAAAAAATGCGCAAAAAGTTAAGTTCTTATTGTGTTATTCTCTTCTATAAGTGAAAATAATGTCAGCAATCATGTGCCCCAGGCATGTTTGATAGCAAAATAATGTCTTAGAGTTTGTGTAACACCCCAACTCGTATCAGACCCGGATACGAATCCGAGGTGTCATATTGACCTTTTAAAACATGTACTTGTATAAAATAGTGAGTAATTTAAAACTTTTATAACATATAAATGACTAATTTACATAAAAGACATTTTCATTATTACAAAACCAATCAGAGCGTGTATATTTCACTTATTTATTTACATATAACTATTCGAAACATTTATAAAACGGTTCATGGCATAAACAATATATTCTTTTGAAAACATGTCAACTAGAACTTTATATACTAAAATACATATTATTCACCTCTTTTCTGATCTAACCTTTAGTAAGGAGAATTGACCTGTATTTCTCCACATTGCTCTTTACTCTTCTCGAAACCTACGTGTAAATCACTTACACGCTAAGTCAAAGACTTAGTGAGGCATATAAACATATAAGGTAAACGGTAACTAATAATCATACCTAAACAATTACTACTATCATTTCATACCACTCATACTTTTACATGTAACAAATATATGCATACATATATGTCATTATCATTCATATCTCTTATCTCATGTTCCTATGATCTCTTATGTCCGTATCATATAACATATACCATAACCAATTGCACATATACATATCATGTAAACCATATATATATATTATCATAAAACACGTACACCCAAGCAACTATATTATCATCTTCATTTCTTTCTTATTTTATCACTATCATTTATTCTTTTCATCATATGGTCTTATAAGTTACCATTTGTACAATCAATATCACACATGAAATTCCACAAGGAAACAAACATATTATCATATCACTTTATTAATATTATCTATTTAATAACTCATGATACACATGTGAGAACTAAAGATATGCGAGTACATAGAGGTTGTGCACTAATGCTGTCACCACAGCTCATATAATTGCAACGAAGTGCCACGTAGAATTGCACCGGAGTGCCGCGTAGAATTGTACTGTAGTGCCATATAATAATGTCCATAAGGACCACATATCATTCCTTAAGAATCATATACATATACTAGGGATCAAGTATGTGTCTCACCAGACTTCACACATGTTCCAAAGAATACATATATGTCCCGAATGACCATATAGACCCTCGACTCTTGGCATGCCAACTATACCCCTAGATATCATGACACATAACATGGGCATTATCTTTTATATCCTTTTACATGTTCATGTAACCATATCATATATTCATATAAGCTCATGGTTTCATTCACATATACATGTAATCACGTAGTTCATGTCAATTCTCATATGAGTTCATATTCATATAAACATAGGATTCACCCTCATGTATCACATATACTTTCTCTTTCATATGGCTCATAACATTTCTCATGTGTTCATATGACATGTAAATCATTGTCATCTTATCATGTTATCACATAAACATATCATCTTACAATACATACAAAAACACATCAATACCTATATTCACATATACCTATAATTTCATTATCCTTATTATTATTCTTATCATCACCCTTAATCCCTTTTACTTACCATATTCATATCAATAACACATATAAATCATAACAAATACATACTTATATGAATTCATGTTTTTCATTATTGGAAATAGACTTATCGCAAGTCTTATTTTCCATTGAACCTCATATACTAAATAATGTGCACTCACCTTAGCCTTGTTTGCTTTGAATCAATCTTAATCCTTAGATTGTTCCGGAACAAGCTTCATTCTATATCTACATCATAATAATACATTGATACACATCAGTATACTAATTGATAGCTTCTAAATTATCACTTTTTAGGCTAAAAGAAAAGCCCATTTCATCTTTTAATGAAGGTATGCATCGATGCACTGCACATTGTATCGATGCATTCCCTATCGGTGCATCGATGCACTACCTGTGCATCGGTGCATAAAATACATTCGATGTTTGTTTATTACTGGGATGCATCGATGCATAGGCATGCATCGATGCACTAATTGCATTCGATGTTTTTAGATTAAAAGAGTGCATCGATGCACTACCTGTGCATCGATACACCTTCAAACAATTTCTGGGTTTTAACCTTGATGCATCGGTGCACTATGAATATGCATTGATGCACTCTGCCCAGAATCTTCTTTTTGAACCCGAAAATTCATTCTTTTTTGATTAAATCCTTCATATTTCAACCCCTTTCATATTCCTAACTTACATATACATACCTAAACTCATTAATATTCATTTATCTCATCTTTAACCTCAAAATTCCATCTTTCATATGGAAATCAATAATCATACCCAATTTTCCATGTTATCCAAACTTAATTCTAACACTTCTAACTTATTATTCTTATAGATGACAAGTCAAATTCATCCTCCAAATTCATTGAAACCTTCTTATTCAAAATTTCACTTAAAACCCCATTTTCTTTAATCTATTCTAACCTCTTCATCTTTGAGTTTTCACTTATCTTTAGACTTTTTTAAGCTTTCTTACTTTCCAAAGAATCAAAACCATCTTAGAATTCAAATAATAATCAACTAATAAAAATTTTCACCTTTGCTCTTGGCTTCCACGCGTGAAGAAGAAAGGAGAAGAAGAAAACTCTGGAAACTCATTTCCCTCATTTCCCACGTTTTTTATATCCCCTAAAAGAGAAATAAAAATCTTCTCTTAGAAAAGACCATAATACCCTTATTACTTTCAAACTTTACTATTAAATCCAACCTCAAAATTCTCCAATTAAAATTCTGAGCTTTTAACTTATTTCGAAATTAAACACAATGCTTTCAAAATTCACCTTTAGGTCACTAGCCTGATATTGAGGATGTTACAAATCTTCCCTCCTTTTTAAGAAAATTCTTCCCTGAATTTTCACTGCACATCCTGAGAAGAACATATTTTCTAACGTTCTCATGCTGCTTTCTGAACTTAATCTTTTGTATCATCATTAATAACTTGGTTCTTATCTTTTTAATTATTCAACTACCTTTTTACTTTATATCTCCTATCATGTCACTTATCAGATAGACAATAACATTAATTCTTATTACTCAAACTCATAAATCAATCAAATTCCTTGTCAATCTTCAATTGTCTTTCAAGAATCACCAAACTTTTATTTCATCCTTACTTGACTGACTCCAAAACTTCCTTAATACATATAAATCTTTCTTCATTTCTCTGACTACATCCACTTGACCAAGAAACATAACCTTAAATCTTCATTATAACTGATTAAACATACACTTTGCATAACTAAACAATTTCTCATATCACCTGACATACATT